CAGGACCTGGAATATATCATGCACTCCCTTCTGGCCTGCAGAGTTTCTGCAGAGAATTCAATGATAGCCCTCTGGGGGTTCTCGTGTAACTGGCAGTTTGTTTTTCTCTTGTTACCTGTAGAATCGTCTCTTTATATTTAACTTTTGCTGTTTTAATTATGACAATTCTCAGTATGAGTCTATTTGGGTGCATCTTGTTTGGGACCCTCTGTGCTTCCTGTACCTGGATATCTGTTTCCTTCTTTAGGTTTGGGAAGTTTTCAGCCACAATTTCTTCTAATACTTTTCGAATCCCTTCTCTCTCTCTTCTGCTTCTGGAACCCCCATTACATGCGGGTTGGCACGCTTTGAATTATCCCGTAGATCTCTTATGTTGTCTTTTTTTTCCTTTGTCTTTCGTCTGCTCTCCTGAGTGGGTGGGTGACTTCCATTTTCTATATTCCAGATCACTTATTTGTTCTTCTGTGTCGTTCAGTCTGCTGTTCATTGCTTCTAGATTGGCTTCTAGAACTGGCTCAGCAGTTAAATTGTCTAATTTTGATTGGTTCATCTTTATAGTTTCTGCTTCCTCGTTACAGTGATCTGCATTCCTGTCACTGGCCTTTCTTCATTCTGGTAGCATTTTTATTACCTCTTTTTTGAGCTCAGGGTCTAGTGCACTGCTGAGGTCTGTTTCACTGTTTGTTCTTTCAGGGTATTTCTCTTGTTCTTTTAACTGGGAGTAGTTCCCCTGCTTTTTTATTCTACTTAGCTTTCTCTGTCTCTATGAATTTAGGAGAAACAGTCATCTACTGTGATCTTGAAGGGGTGTTTTTATGTGGGAGTGTCCCTGGGTAGGCCTTTGAGTTCAGTATTTTTGGAGTGAGGGCTGTGTTTGGTACGGACGCGAGCAGCGTCTTTCCTCAGGGTGTGTGGGCTGTTATCCCCTTCGTGGGGGATGTCCAGAGCCTGTGCTGGGTGTTTGTCAGGGCCTCTTCTTTCTCCATGGCTATCACCCACCTGTCGGGGTGGGGTCTGCTCCCTGGTTGTTGGAATAGAAGCCCTGAGGGTCAGGTTCGATCAGGCTTTGTTGCCCTGAATGTACACCCTGCCCCAGAGGAGGTGACCACTGAAGCAGGTGAGGCCCGTGTGGTCACCGTGAACCTATGTGCTGCCTGTGCAGGTGCCTGCAGTTCCACCCAGAAGCAGCCTACAGTTGTGTCCCTTTCTCTGTTGTGTTCATCCCAGACCTAGTGCTAGGCTGTGGCGTGGAGGAGGCTGGGACTAGGGGCCGCGGTGCTGTCCGCCCCAGATGCGGCTCCCAGCTGTGTGCAGGGCGGGCGGGCGGGCTGGGGCTCTCCTGGGAAGTGTGCTCCCGCCCGGGGCGTGTCCGCCCGAGACTCAGTGTCCAGCTGCCGTGCGTCTCCGTGGCGCCATTCGGTGCTGACAGTAGGCTCCGCGGTTCCCCCCACACCCCAGGCTTTCGGGCTGTCTCTGCACAGCTGGGTCAAGTCCCTCCCAGGGCCTGTCTGTCTGAGACTCAGCACTTAGCCCCTGAGTGCTCCCGTGGCCCAGCGCGTGTACTGAGCGCATCACACCCCAGACGCCCATTCTGTCTCTGCGCAGTGAGACCAGTCTCTGCCCTGATCTCACACCAGGCTGCAGTGTGGATCTGGGGGGTCTGGGCGTCTGCCCCTTTGGATTAGAAGTTGCAGGGGGGAAGCCACCAGAGCTGGTCTCTCTCCGCCCTGATTATTAGCAAGCCGCAGTGTGTGCTTTTCACCAGTGGGGTCCAGGCTTCTCCAGCCCCTGTCTGTCCCAGCGGGCTTCCCCGCAGGTATGGGACTCCCCAGGGCGAGTCTGCCCGGATGGACCTTCGCTGCCTTACAGATCCCTCAGGGGTCCTGATGCCTTTCTTTCTCATCCTACCTGGGTACATGGAGATCTTGCAGCATTGGTTGTAGGAGAAATCTGCCACTTGCCAGTCAATTTCCTGTGAGAATTGTTCCACGCTGAGATGTATTTTTGATGTGTTCGTGGGCGGAGGTGATCTCCACATGCTCCTACTCCACGCTTGTTCCCCTCTCTCTGTCACAACATTTTTATCCACTGATCAGTGTGCACCTTGTGTTCCGTGTGTTTCTGTTCAGGGACACCTTATTCAGTGTACGTTGATGATTCTTTAGTGGTGAACTCATGGCCAACAGCATATAACTCATGCCTCAAGGGAGGCACGTCGCAGCCTCGTTGCATTCATGCGCGTTAGTCAGCACTTCAGCACTGTGCTTGAGGGCTGTTTCAACAGCAAAATCACCAACAAAAATGCGAAAAACACAGCACTAAATAGACCCCCAGGGAGACACGCGTTCACAGTCTGCACTGAAGCCAGAAGGCAGAGCAGCAGCTCGTTGGACATCCAGCTGAGAACGTGCACGATGGCGATTAAAAATTTCACTGTTACGTGCATTTCCAGAGATGGCTACAAAAGTGCCGGAAGCATATTTGGGGGGTTACAATTGATTTTTGTGAGCAGGCAAACTTGTAAAGATGGAATCTGTAAATAAAGAGGATTGACTATACTTGCATATAAAGAACTTACCAAGTGGATGAGGAGAGCCACCAAGTAACGGCTTTAGCCTTATCTGCATCAAGTCCTTTTTTTGCAAGGAGAATGTCTCCATACATTTCTGATCTATTTATAATTTTATTGTATTTATTTTTTATTGAAGTACTGTCGATTTATGACGTGGTGTTAATTTCTGGTGTACATAATTTTACATTTTAAAAAGGCAGTTAAAGGAAAAGGGGTCCCTCTGGCTGTCTAGAACCTTGGGGGACACTGGAAGTTTGCTTCCTCCTGTCCTGATGGGCTGTCCCCTCTGCGCTAGGAGATGTCCCCCTACCCTGGCTCCCCCCAACCTATATTCTTTCAGGGACATACACTGGATATGCCCTGTCAGCTTTGATCTGTCTTTGCATGGACTGTCGGACAAGAAACTTCCATCGTCTTGCAAACTTCTGCTGTTTCAGACCCTGTGACAATAGCAAACTCACCTTTCTCAAAAGACAGAGGCCACTGAGAACCCTAGCTGTCAGCCAGGACTGACAGGGTGCTTCGATGAAAACCGTGAACACGTGTGGGGGCTGAGAGGCATCAGACACTGCTCCCCATTTGTCATCTCGATGCACCTTCACAGCCACTCTGTGAGATGGGGGTCTACTTTTACATGTAAAACCCACCCCACCCCCCAAATCAGAAGGTTGAACCCAGAACTGATCTTAGAGTCTGAGCTTCTCAACAAAGGCCAAGATGTTTTCATCTGGCCAAAAACCAGGGCATGGGATGCTGAAGCGCTTTATTATTGGAACTTATTGGATGGCTTTCCAGGTTGCTTCCAGGAAGACGAGTGGGTTTGGGGGCCCAGTTCTTCTTCAGGCCTGTGGATGCTTTTCTTCTCTGATGGCTCAGTCAGCCCTCTGGGGAGGAAAAACATCTGGTTAGAACCTATAAGGTCAGATCTTCTAAACAGGCAGTTCTTCAGACACCTCCCTGTGAGCTTCCCCGGGATCACACCCTGATGCTTCACAGTAACTCAAAGATCTGTGACGGGCCTGTTGCTGCCGAAGGCGGGGCAGGTCAGAAAGGGCGTACCTCTTCCTCAGGTGGACGAGGAGGAGTGACCCGAGGGAATCTGGCTTCTCAGAAATAAGAGAGACTCCAGTCCCCACCCAGAGCAGCAGATCACATCGCGATGACATCTTCCTGTTGGAGTCTGGAGAGCAGAGAAAGGCAGGTTATCACCTGGGAATCCTTGATGCATGTGTGTTCATTCCCTGGGTCCCCACGAGTCACCGTAAAATGGAAATATTCCTGAATGAGCAGATTCACTTAGAAATTAGAAAAGAAGGGGAATCCCTCCCTGATGAACTTTATTTTTGTTTGTTGTTTTGTGGGGGTAATTAGGTTTACATATATATATATATATTTTTTTAAATGGATGTACTGGGAATTGAACCCAGGACCTCATGCATGCTAAGCACACACTTGACCACTGAGCCATCGCCCCCTCCTGTGAACTTTAGAGTGTGGTGCCTTCCAGGAGAACTGTCATGTGAGCCACCTGTGTAACCACACAAAAAAGGACCTGGTAAAATTGAGCTAGGTACTGTATTTACTGTAACCCAGTATGTCCAAAATAGCGTCATTCCAACATTCATTCGATATTTTTAAATATTAATGAGGTAATTTACTTTATCTCGTACCCCAGTGTGTGTACACGCACATCACACCTCATCCCAGCTGGGCCACATCGTGGCCAGTGGCTGCTGTAGTGGACAGCACAGGTACGGAGGGCCCGTCTGCCCTCCAGCACCAGTGTGGGGTGGTCTCTTACCCAGCTGCAAAGTGAAACTGGGAGTCTTGCAAAAGATGCAGAATAATGAATGTGTTGTGTTTAACTGCTGGGCTCACCCACGAGGCTTGGACAAATGAAGGTGCTGAGGAGTTAAATCAGTTAATGATGAAGAACAGAAAATGAATATGGTGGTGTTCTGGGCTGAATTATGCCCCCCTCGCAAATTCATATGTCGATGTCCTGACACCCAGGACCTCAGCATGCGAGTGTATTTGGAGACGGGGTCGTTAGAGAGGTGATCAGGTCGAAAGCAGCTCATTATGGTGAGCCCTAATCCAATACAACAGGTGTCCCTGGAAGAAGGGGAAATTCAGACCCAGAAGCACAGGGAGAAGGCGGCCGTCTGCAGGCCAAGGAGGGGCTTCAGAAACACCCTGATCTTGGTGTCTTCCAGCCTCCAGAGCCTTGAGAAAATAAATTCCTGTTGTTTAAGCCGCGTGCTCTGTGGTACTTTGTTCTGCGGCAGTCCTGGTAAACTGACACAGGTGTGTTGGCTGGGGGCATCTGAAGGGGATGACTGGGTCATGAGAGGGTTACAGGTGGCCCTTGGGACAGCTGAAGATGTGTTCTGCTCTCTGCCTGCGCCGTACTTCTAGCTGGCTTCCCACGATCCTATCAGTGACTCCTGGCATCACGTGGGCTCTCTGTGACCCAGATTTTGGGGGAAGCACAAGGAGGGGTGGAAGGAGCTCAGGCCTCCATCCGTCACCCCCTGGGATGGGCTGACACACCTCATTCCTTGGTTCCCAGCAGGTGGATCTTCCCCCACCAAAGTTTCTGACTGAAGGCCTTCGCCAAATAAGCCGCAAGGAAACATTGGGGCATTTGACAGAAAAACAGAAACAACAGCTCTGGTCCTAGGTGGGAAGATGGCCCTGCTCCCTCTGTGAGATGAGTGAAAACGCAGCCAGCAGTGTTGGCAGCCAGCCAGGAAGGAGTCCGTGTGCCCTGCCAGCCCTGGCAGAGTGCGAGTGGAGGGCAGACACTATCCAGAACCCACAGCAGCCGAACGCGTGTGCACGTGGCCTCGCAGACCCGCCTGCCACTCAGGGGGCCCCCTCTGCTGGACCTGTTTGAGGCACAGCCCAGCAAGGCCAGTCTTACCATCGGGGCAGCCCGGAGCAGCTTTGCCAAAGAAGTCAGTGGTAGAGGTTTTCGATCTGCCTTTTATATTTCTGGATTATGAAGTGTCTTTTCATCTTTGTCGTGGGACCTGTCAGGAGAGGAGAGACCAGTTCAGTCGAGGGGAAGAAATAAGAGTCCACAAGCCCTGCCTGTGACCGGGCAGCAGGGCCTCGTGGCTGGGGCTGGGCTGTGGCCGGCTTTGCCGTCGACCTCCAGGGTGCACCGCCTTCGCCATCAGTGGGGCTGACAGAGCCCCACTTTGTGCTTGGGCTGTGGGGAGGATTCCGAGCCAGGAGGTGGAGGGTGTGCCGAAGTCTGCCTGCTGAGGACCATGTACCCGGTGAGGGGGGGCCCCCACCCCCCGATTTTATAGGTGAGGCTCAGAGAGGGCCAGTCTCTCTGAAGTCACCCAGCAAGTCCATGGTGGGGTGAACACGTGACCTCGGGAGTCGCTCCCCAGGCTCCGGTTACCAGGGGGTTTGGGCTTCCCTCAAGGTGTCCTGGACCACCCCGCGAGGATGGCGTTTACAACTTGGAGATAAAAAGATTGAGGCACGTGTGTGTGTGTGTGTGTGTGGTCCGGGGGACCCGGGCACTAGTCAGCTGGAGGTGGCATCCCCTCCTGCTCCATGGCTGGTCCCCTCTGACTCCCAGAAAAAGACACATCTCCTCAGAGCCCACATGCCACTAGACACTAACAAGGAACCAGCTTCCAAGGGCCAAGGCCACTGGCTCCCACGCCACTCACCTAGCTCTCCTCCACCGATGGAAAAGTCCTTCTCCAGGATGACCCACTTCTGGATCTTTTGTGCGTTGGAGATGGCTTGCTGATTCACAGCGTTTATGCCTTTCTGGATGGCCATGTAGACCAGGGGGTCTCGCAGCTCCACGATCTCGGTCACGGTGCTCGCCTGGCTGCCCACGTCCCGGCAGAACTTGATGGCCTCCCAGGTCAGGTTGTCCAGCGGCTCCCCGCTTGTCTTGTCGACTTCACACTGCTCCAAGACACCCCGTCATGACACCCAGCATCCCCACCCACTCCCCGGCCAGTTCTGAGGACCAGGCAGTGGGCACTTGCCCCTGCCCAGAACACCCACATCACCTTCAGCGTCAGCAGGATGCTCAGGAACTTGGCTTTGTCTCCCACCAGCATGGCGTTACTGATGATGGGGAGCTTCTCCTTAACTAGGTTCTCGATGGGGATGGGGGCCACGTTCTCGCCGCCGGCAGTGATGATAATTTCTGGAACAAAGCGCAGCTGGTGGTGGGTTCAACCATGACAATACCAAAGCCCTGCCCCTCTGAGGATCACAGAGGGGCACAAGCAGCCACTCACCTAGAAGACTCCGGAAGCAGAGGAGGGCCTCTGCCCATGGCCAGGACTCTCAACGGTGTCCTGCTCCAAGCCTCAGAGCCAAAGTCACTCTGCCCCTTTTCCTCCAGTTGCTTCAAATTTTCATCAAGAATTCCACTTGGACAGGGTCTTATTAACTCACTGCCCATTTCTTGGTCCCCCATTCCCTGTTCCAGACTCTCCAGTGTGTCTTGCTTGGAGGATCGTCAGATGCTTCTGACCATGCCCTGCCTCTCTGTCTCCTGCTGTTTCCTTCATTTGACAATCCCCGGAGAACCTCTGTCCAGCCTTACCCTGGGAGCGCGTGCAGCACTCCTCATTTTGGCAAGCTCTAAACGGAGAGTGTTACTTTTTCCCCCTGCCTCTGAAATTCTCCCAGAGCTCCTCCTCCTGCCCCAGATACATTCTTTACTTGTTCTTTCCTCCCAGGATGTTTGCTGCCTCCTGTCCCACCACTCGGACGCTCTCCATCTCCTCCCATGATCTCGCAGTCGCCCTTACTGAGGCCGTTGTAGCACTAGTGATAATCGATACGATCATGTGATGGACATCTCTGGCATTTTTCTGCCCAGGAGGTTGACTCCTCCTCAGGGTTTATTTAGGGACCCACTCCCCATCTTTATGTGGTTTGGGTGGGACCAGGTCTGACCAGTCAGCGTCTTCCATCCTCTACAGTGATTCCTTCTGAGTTGGGATACTAACCCAAGAAGATCCAGTGAGAATTAGGCCAAAAACTTGCTGAAACTGTTGGGAATGATACACTTTTTTTGTCCCCTGGGGGTCAGGATGAGACTAGACAGTTGGCAGCCAGCTTGTCACCAAATTAGAAAAGCCTCTTCAAGGATGGCATCAACTCAGAGGCCAGCTTGGTAACAGAAGAACAGAGAGATTCCTTGTGATGTCATTTGGGCACCTGGGTCCAGCCGTGCCTGAGACAAGACCTTTTGGACTTTTCTGATTTTGAGCCAATAGCTTCACTTTTTAACTCAAACCTGTTTTAAGAAGGGGTTTCTGTTGCTTATCATGGAAATGATGCTGACATTACTATACATGGGAATAATGTAGTTACTGCCTACATCAGGCTCCGTGCCCAGTGCTCTACATTACAGGTTGGCAGACTGCAGCCTTCTGTAGGGCTAAATCTAGCCTTCTGCCTGCCTTTTTTTTTTTTTTTTTTTG